TAATACAAATACTACATACTATTTTATGACTAGATTAAAAAAAATACATCACTTTATTAACTAACTTTAATTCAAACAAGTAAATAAATTTATACAAAGAACAATAATACAAGGTCATAAACAAATAATAGTCACCACAGTAACTAATGGTAATACATTTGAAAGATTGGGTTGTTCGGTTTATTATTGTATTCGACAATCATCTCCGGTAGAGGACCAAGGGTTTCAGGACGAATCCTGGAATTGAAACCGTTATTTATGTGGCAACTGTTTACGAAATTGCTTGCATCCTTAACAATTTTTAAAGTTCCAATCCATTCATCCTCACCAAACCTCATTCGAACAACAATTTCAGGTCGAAAGTCAGCAAAGTTATCACATGCAAATTCTACAGGCACATCTTGCATAAAAAATAAAAATAATAATAATAAAATCAAATCAATTGGTACGGGCTCCCTTATTTTAACTTTACTTATTTAAATTAAAACTCTATTATTTTTACCATTAATCCAAGTGTTTTGTACGTCATTGTTACATGCACCTTAAACCACGGGGCTTGGTCTGGCTCAACCAATAAGTCACTACTAATTTCTTGTGGGGCATTATTAGTTATTTCAATTCCTGATCTAAAAACTGTAACGCGAATGGTTGAATTGTTACACAAAAATATTTTCAACACGTCTCCATTTATGATTTGATTTTCACTTATAAATTCTTGTCATCCATCCTCGACAGAATACTTCCAATTTGAACCCATTTCCACGTTCCGAACAACAACTGTCCACGAATGATTGTCAAGACCTCGATATAGAGTTACATTGCCATCACTGAGAATATGCCCTAATGTGCCGGGGATACGCTGGAATTTCAAATATACACCCAACATTAAAAAAAATGACTAAATGAAAAAAATTATCGAAATATATTTATCCCTCTTGTACGTTCAATACACAAACAATTACTTACCAAAGCAACACGTCTTTTGTCATTAACGACTACTTCAAAACTTGGATTATTCCGGTGATTCATCTCTCTCCAATTCTCCATGTGGGTCATAAAATAACTAATTAAAAAAAATCAGATGATTAATAAACACACATGATTGAAAATATACTATCATTACTATCAGTACCTTATTGATCCTATTTCACCTTACAAGTGTTACAACAACTACTTCTTAACTTGAGTGCTCAATTTTTTTGGTTCAGTTCTAAGTGTTCTTATAGTTTGTCAAAGGGTAGGGGGTTACAATTATTTGATTCCTATTATCTAAAAAAGTTTGAGGTGACAATACAAAAAGAGAATCTATTCCCTATTGTTTGGAATATTGAGTTAACTTGATTGTTTTGAATATAATACCATCTCTCAAATTCACTTTTGCTATGTGTAAAAAAAAAAAAAAAAAAAATCCCTTTTGCTATGTATTAATTATTTTTTTATAAAATGACCTTCATGGATTTATTAATTTAGAAATGACTTTGATACTATTATTTCCCCGTAGTTCAAGACATAAAATAACTAATTTAAAAAATCAGAGGATTAGTAAACCCGTAGTTCAACACATAAGTATAATGATTATTATATTATTAGACATTTGAGACAAAATAAATTCATTTGCCTTGTCCAACCTTTGATTGCTGGTATCACACTTTTTGGTTAAAGGGTAGTGGATGCAATGTGTAGTCAAATCAAGTCATATAAGGATTGCAAGCCAACTGAATATAGTATTCGACAAGCGCACAATATAACTCTTTGGTTATGGACAAGTTTTCAAGACTCTTCTAGGCGCCTAGTTTAATGTAATTTCTGATGTAAATTCCATCCATTACGCTTACGTACCTAATAATAATATTAAAAAATTGCTTGAAGTATTAAAAAATTTCAAACTAATAATATGTTTGATGCGTGAAGTGTTTTATTAATGAAAACCATCAGAAACCGTAAACTCAAATTTTGATTATCAACTAATAATGTATAAGTGAATAGGATGAAAAAACAAAAAGGGTAAGTTGAATAATCAAAATGAGGTACAAAAATACAAATGAAGTAATTCACTGGACAAGTAACATAAGACAACTAACATAACCACATGTGTAGTCAACTCAAAACTTACAATATTTTAAGCATGTGGACTGAACTTGCTTAAGTGTAGGCGCAACCTACATTGTCCTTTGGCATCATGAAGCTAGATGGTAAGTTTCATTTTCAAGGAATTGGATAAAACCTAATATACTATGGATAGAGTTTGGCTGAGTTAAGTAGACGTTGAACAAAAATTATTAAAAGGAATACATCAACCAAGTTTCAAAAAATCTATTTAGGATAACAACAAATTTCCACCTCATGCACTCTAAAAATTACAGCTTGATGGTGGGATTTTAACTTATAATGTTGTAAATAGTAAGAAAAATACTATTTTTATTTGTATCAAACAAGCTAAATAACAATACGTAATGTCATTAATTTGCTTAAATAAAATTACATTTTCAATTACATGAATCGATTTCAATTACATTATGGGCTCTTATTTTATAATGAAATATATTGAATAGTTTGTTAAGTGTCATAGTAGTGTCTATCTATAATTCAGATGACAAAAAGTAATGTATTATGCGAGTTATTATTAGAATTAAGTGATACAGAATAAAATGTGATGTTAATAAAAATCACTTTGTGATTGATTGTTGTTTTTTTAAAAAAAATTATAGTCTTACTAATAACAAATTAAATAAAATTTATTATATTTTTGATTTAAATTTTAAAAACATGACTAACAATTCATTGTCTTATTAATTGAAAATATTTTTGTTTTAAAATTAAACAACCTGACATAATCTTAGTAATTTCTGTAAATAAAATTGATCAAAATATTACAGAAATATAAATAGGTACAAGCTCTAAAAAATAAAAGCAAAATATATATTATAGCTAAGTGTTGATTAATTTTTAAGAAGCACGCTTACATTTAATTAAAGAAATGAAAAGTTGTGGTTTCTAAAAAATGAAATTTTGCAGTCCCTATCACAACAATACGAGGTACGGCAATTAGATTGAGTAAAAGGATAATGTTGAGTTCCAAGCTAGCAATCCAATGCAAATAAGGTCAGCAAATGTCATCCGTTGATTATCTAAATCCACCACATGTAAGCCACGCTGGCAATCTATGTCTTTGGATAATTTTCTTCAATCTAAAGCAAGAGATTGCCATTGATTGTGGTTTATTTTTGGCACGTTGAGGTCTCTTAGTATTAGATTTAAAATTAATTATAGAATAAAATATTAAACTGCTAAACATAAAAAAAAATTATGATAATATTCATTTTAAGAAATATAACACTGAAGATGAATAGTTAAAGACACATTGATTTTGTGAATCTAGGTGAAGCGGAATATCGGTTTAGGATTTAGATCCGGTTTACGATTTTGGGTCTATATATCAAAGAGAAGATTGCCATTAAAACAAAGTTATGAACTTTTACCCGATAACCAAAATCACTAAAAGTGATACCCATAACCAAAATCGATAGGTTCAGGTACCCGGATTTTCGGATCGGTTATCGAGTACCTAATAAGATATCCAATAATGATAATTAAACCTAATTATGTAGTTATTCTGATATAATTTACAACTAATTAAAAACAATAATATTACTAATCATTGATATTATAAATTGATTATGAAGTAAAGTAAAAGTTTAGATTTATATTAATTAATAGATTTAAGCAGGGGAAAAAAGCAAAAAAAAAAAAATGTTAATCGGATCGGATTGGGTAACTATTAATTTGGTGAATGATACCCATAACCATACCCGGTAACAAATTATCGGAACGGGTACCCGAACCGTTATGGTTATCGGATCGGGTACCCTAATTTTCGGATCAGTTACGGATCGGTTTTTCGGGTTTTCATTTTTTCGGGTAGTTTTGCTCAGCCCTAGTTTAGGGTTTACGGTTTACAAATTAACGGGTTCAGAGTTTATGGTTAAGGGTTTAGAGTTTTAGAGTTTACGGTTTAGAGAAGATTGCCAATAAAACAAAGCTTTGAAGTTTAAAGGTTAGAGAAGATTGCATGTTAGGGTTTATTAAACATGACATTGCACGCTTCAAAATCATGAAGTTAGGGTTTTAGGAATTAAGTGTTAATGATGCTTTAGGGTATAGGGTTCCACTCGTTTATGGTATAGGGTTTATATGGTTTAGGATATATAGGGTATAGGGTTAAGGGTTCATAGGGTTTAGGCTTTACAAATTATCGGGTTTAGGGTTTATGGTTAAGGGTTTAAAGTTTTAGAGTTTAGGGTTTAGGGTTCAGAGGGTTTAGGGTTTAGGGTTTAATAATAAGGTGTATATGATATAGGGTTGTTTATGGTTAAGGGTTTAATAATAAGGTGTATATGATATAGGGTTGTTTATGGTTAAGGGTTTAGAGTTTTAGGTTTCGGAGGGTTTAGGGTTAAATATGGTGTATACGGTTTATGGTTTACAATTTAACAGGTTTGGGGTGTTAGGGTTTTACACTACTAGAATTTCCGGTTTTTAGCGACGCTTTTAAGGCGAAATTTCGACGCTAAAAAGCGTCGAAAATTTTTATCTCGACGCTTAGAAAAAGTGTCGAAAAAAGGTGAGTCAAGAATTTTCGTTGACGCAGAAAAACATCGAGATTGTCGATGCTCTTTTTATTCCATATCTTTATACGAAGCGTCGACACTGTGTAGTTCGCGCACATTCCCAAAAAAATTTGACGCTTTTTGTTGTCCATGAACAATTAATTGCCGACGCTTTTATATGTCGTAAAAGTTATCAGCGCTTTTTAACGTCTTGTTTCTTTAAAAAAATTTGCTTTTACACTGAAGTTTCTACATGAAAAAGCGTCGAGAATCATGTTTCCTACTTTTTTTATTAATTATGTTGAAACAGATACCTTTCATGCCTTTTTTTTAGGCATTTTATTCCTTAACTTGATTTAAAAAAAAAAGTTACACATACAAAATCTTGGACTATTTCATTTATAAATGCTGGTAAATATTATATTCACCCAAAATAAATTAAAATTTACAATGGTACAATTCAAGGTTATGAGTGTATTTACAAATAATACAATAAAACAACATCAAGCACAAATAGCTAATACAACAATGTCAAGCACAAATAGCAGCAGCAACAACAACAACAGTGGACAGAGCAAGCATAGATTGCAGTAGTAGCGTCGTTGAGCAAGCATACATTGCAGCGGTAGCAGCGTCGAGCAAGCATAAATTGCAGCAGCAAGGTCAATCAGCAACGACTAGAACTGGTATTCAATTTATGCCTTGAGAAATCGATGAATGAAACAGTCAGAATTTAGAAGTTTATAATGTATATCTATTGACATACGTATTAAGACATCACCTTTGTTTCCCAAGAAACTCATTATTCTAGATTTCTAAGGTTCAACATAAACTTAATCATCACTAATAATTTGAGAATCCATCGTAAGTGAACCAAATACACCCGACTTCATTATTGAGAGTTTTTCCTATCAACAAGCAAGTTTCCATTTTCTCGTGTATGAATTGTTTTCCAGTCCAATTCCTGTCATCGTTCTCTTGAAATAAACCTGCAAAAACAATTTCAGATAATCATTGTACAAGTTGTCAAGTTCCTTGAACTCTGTTTGGATTGTAAATATAATATGCAATATGCTTTAAAATGTTGCCTACCTAAAACGTAAATATCTCTAGATGTGACAAAACTATGGCTCTGGTATTCCCCGGGTTCTCAATCTGCAAGAAAATCTGCATCATTGATAGCGATTTATGTAGAAGCATGCTAAAAAGTCTTAAAAACATCGGAGCACATCGCATGAAAACTACAATGAACAAATGCAGAAGATACAATTCTTTTCAATGGAGAGAGGGAATCTAGGTGGATAAGAGAGGGAAGCTAGAGGGATAAGAGAAGAGAAAAGGAATGAAAAGGAGATTATAAAAAAAGAAATCAATGAGACTGTATCAAAATATACAGCTAACAAGTGACTGAATAAGGGATTTTATAACTGAAGATCTCTCACCTTTTTTAGAAACCAAAGAATATAGTAAGAGCAAAGGCACTACATTAAATGATCCCTATGGTTTACCTATCTAACAATGCCAGAGATTTTGTACGACTCATATTCATTATTTGGACAAAAACAAACAAAAAGAAAGACGATTATCAAGCTAAGAACAGGTAGAAAAACTACAATCAGATCAAAACATGAAAACCAAGACAAGTAAAAATATAATCTGATCAAAACATTAACACCAAGACAAGTTCCAATAAGTTTAATTCAAGTAAAATAAGAGTACCAAGCAGCAGAACATTACCAAGGAGCCAGCAGCATAAATAAAAGAGATAAAATCCCCATGTTATTGGGAGTGGCTTGTTACCAGATTCCTTTGATTGCTCCTTTATATCAGCAACATTTTCCACATTTTGAGCATGAAATGCCTATAAATGCAAAAGAAAGTATATGATTAAACATGCTTTTAGAACTAACAAAACATAATAGTTGACTAACGTCAAGTTTAATATCCATTGGAATGCTTTTAAGACATTAACTTATTACAATGCAAAAAGTAGTTAGCCACACTTGGTACGTAGGATAAAGGTAATAAGTGCTAATTAAGATAACAAATTTATCCAATTATATTGAGTTAAGTATAGTATAGTTCCACTACTATGAAACAAACAAAATTGATCCAACCAAAGCCCACAGAGTAGTAGTGTGTGACAACAATGTATACAACACCCACCATTCTAAAAAGAATAAAAAAAAAACAGTGTGAGAGTATACACATTCTAAATATGACAAGAGCTGAAATTTTAATAAGAAGATAAAATGTGTTGATCAATATGTAATCAAAAAGTATATATAATAATTCATAGTAGCACCCCACGAAACACCATGTCCTGAAATATGTGCAGTGTTTAGTTTAATTTTAATTAACATTCATAGAGGTGTCTATCTAACTCCTCGTCCAGTTTTAGCTTTGAAATTTTCAAACACCTGTTAACTTGGACACCTAATATTCTCAATATTTCTATCACAAAATCAACCTTATTAGCACAAAAACAAGAAAGAATAGTTATACCTGATTTTATAATGTAATACTAGTAAATTTAATTGGAAACAAAAAGAAAAATTAATCTCACATATTTATAAAAAAAAATAAAAAAAGTACCTGAGTGATTTAAACCATTTGAGAAAATAAACCCCACAATTCTAACAAGAAACAAAAATTAAATTTTGGAGAAAAAATGACTGGAAGAAAACAATTGCTAATAACTTTAACATAATATGATAAATAGATATAGAGGTAGAATTGATTATATACTTCATGTAAAATTAAAAACTCACATCACGAATAATGACAAAATTACAAGTATTAATTGAATTTAATTACAACTAACCAAAGATTAAACAAAAATCAATGAAACAACCAACTAGATACAATAAACATCAGGAATAAGAAACCAAAGGTACAATTACCAATAATGGTGATTGTCTAAGTCTTCTTTTTTTAGTACCTTTTGCTACAATCTTGTTGCTTCTCAACTTCTTTTTGGGGTGCTTAATTCTAAACTTCCAATTCAACCGATTGAATGGGATCCTCTTTTAGATTTGCACATAAAATTTAACTATGTCATACCTTATAACGTCAATCTACCCATAGTAAAAAGTAAACCGTAATCCTTATTAAATCAACCAAAATGAAAATTTTGATTGAAGAGTAAATCACAGCAACTAGTGACAAACCCAACTTACGTTTTTCGATTTTGAGGAGGGAAAATCATGCAAAATATCAAAGAATGAAAAACAGAGGAATATAAAGTGCACCGAAATGGATTTTAAACAACGAAATTGAAGAAATTCAAATCAAGCACTTGAACAACCAGATCTAGAAAAAAAAACCCTAAAAATTCAATAATCAAGAGGGATTTAAAGAAAATCAAATACCTGTTGAATCGCAAAGCAATTATTTTTAATCTATAACTCCAAATGAGAAGGGGAGATCAGTTTTGAATCATAGATGAACCGCTATTCAACTTTTGCATTTTAAAGGTTAGGGTTCAAGATGCAGCACCGATTAAACAAAACGTTTTTTTTTTAATTCTCATAAAATAAAAGGGTGAGAGTTTATGTTCAGTATCACGTGCAAGACATGTGTAATATTCTATTTGTAGACGTTGAAAAGAGACGAGACTTTGATTCGGCAAAGAACAACGTCACAAAAACGCATAGAGTCTTTCCTTAGTCTGACAGGGCTCCCTTGGCGTCGATAGCAAAGCGTCGAAAATATAAGGTTTTTGTAGTAGTGTTAGGGTTTAGGGTTTAGGATTTAGGAGGTTCAGAGGGTTTAATATGGTGTTTATGGTGTTAGGGTTTAGGGGGTTCAGATGGTTTAATACGGTGTTTACGGATTAGGTTTTACAATTTACCAATTCAAGTTGGTTTAGGTTTTAGGGTTATAGGGTTTAGGATTTAGGGTTAATATGGTTTTAGGGTTTAGGGTTTATATGGTTTTAGGTTTTAGGGTTAAGGGTTTAGGGTTTAAGGTTTATATTGTTATAGGGTTTAAGGTTTATATTGTTATAGGGTTTAGGGTTAGGGCAGGTTTAGTGTTTAGGGTTTTACGGTTTTAGGGTTTATTGTGTTTATGTTACGGTTTTAGGTTTTGTGGTTTAGGTTTTATCATGGTTTATGATTTAGGGTATAGGATTTTAGAGTTAGGGTTTAGGGTTTATCGTGGTTTATGATTTAGGGTTTAGGGTTTTAGGGTTAGGGTTTAGGTGTTATGGGTTTAGGGTTTATTGTGGTCTAGGGTTTAAGGTACCACATTATATTAATAATTAATTAATGACCTTGCGTTAGGGTTTAGGATTTAATTAATAATTAAATAATTATCGTACCACATTATATCATTATTTGGTTAATTGCTCTAATTACATTAAGGGCGGTTTTAATCCTATGGGTAAAAGCATTGCCTTGTGATTGTTATTTTGAATTGTAGAATTATTGGGTCAGCAATGGGTCAAGTTCAGCTTGAAGCATTGGTCATTGTGATTTTTGATTTTTGATTTTTGATAAGTCACATCACATCAATATTGTTGGACTTTGCACCTTAAATTAAGGGTTGACATAAGCTACCCTACAAGTAAGTTTGTGGCAGTACTAGTACCTATTTCATTGTTATTTATATCACTAATTTGTGTTCACTAATGTGTCTTATGCTTGCAATTCTATTTATTTACTATTTATGTAGATAATGAAATAGGTACTATTCTATTTATTTACTATTTATGTAGATAATTAATCAAAATCATATAAATAATTAGAAGGCACAACCAATAAGGAATTGATATGTAGATTTAAACATGTTCCAGAAAGAGATTAAATAATTTTTGGTAAATATTCGTTTCAAACTTACTGCTACTTTTTAAAGTTATTACAAATTATGTATTTTAAGTACTTAATTTTTTTTAGAATTAGTTGGAATTTTATTTACAGAAATCTTCCCGTATGAAAATTGGACGAACAACTAATTCCGAGGTGATTATCCAAATACCCTACTAAAATCATGGCAACCTATCAATAAAAAATCGTTAAGCAAAATGCAAACTTGAACAAAATATCATAATCAGACTCCAAAAATATATTCTGCTTATAATTTTTTTTTAAAAAAAAATAGGTATAAACGCTTGATTAAAAAAGTTGAAACATGGTGTTAGTTGAAACATGTTATTTACATGGAAATTGCTTACTTAAAATGTGCTTACTTTTAAGTAGGAGCAATATCCTTTCCTATATAGGGAAAAGGTAACAATTTGAACATTAGGGAAATCTCCTGCCAAAAATTGACTCACGTGTATTATTATCGTTGGTTGAGTCATTGTATATAAGAGGATGGTGGGAAAACCATAACTCCAAAAGTTCAAATGGCAAAGAATAAGAATTGTGGTGCTAGGTTTACTTCATGTCTTGGGGGTAGGTTAATGAAGCTATCCAAAAAATTTCATAACTCGCAATCCAAAATATGTCCACAGTTTCCCTCTCCATCCAAAAAATGTCCTCCACTTCCATCAAAGCCCCCAATGAGTCCTCTCTCTCTGTCGAATGCCATCACAACAACCAAAATCCCCAAAAAGAAGCGTTCTTGTAACAGACTTCCTCGTTAGGAAATAAATCTAAGGGTATGGAATGTAACGCGAAATGCTTCATTCAGGATTATGGAGCAGCTATATGGAATACCCCCAACCATATCTTACAAAGAGAGGAAGGAATTAGCTGCTGGCTTTGCTTTGGCTGAGGCAACGAATAAGGAAAGAGAGTGGCTAAACCCGGCTGATGGGGGTCCTGTTTTGCAAGACACGTTGGACCCTAACATAACAAAAGTAGGTGGTCCCAACAACCACACAATTGTTGTTAGGAGTAGACAACGTGGTGACCATGGTGTGGTTTATGAAGTGAGTGATGATGAAACATTCGAGGAGGTGTATGCGGATTATGCCTCCCGGTTGGATCTGTCAACACAGAACATAATTATCAAGAAAAATGGGATGGCAATTGCTCCCACTGATACTGTTTCTAGGGCTGGAGTTCGAACCGGAGAAATATTATATTCCCATGTCGTGGTAATCTTAGTTTATTTACATTTATCTAATTTTTTTTACTATTTTTAGTAAGCATATAGGGTTGTTTACGCTTTATATTAACATAAGTACATTATTATTGCAGAATCCTTCGCATAATATGAATGTCGGTGCTAAGTTCTTCTAAATCAAGAACACTTGCACTCCACCACATGAGTTGAGGGTGTATGCGAAGCTCTCTTCCAAGCTGTATAAATTGTTCAAGAAATGGGGAGCCGAAATCAACAAGGACCCGAAGAGCTTGACATTGATCCACCAAGACAGGAGGTTGTCAAGACGTCAAACCATTGGTGATGCTGGTATCAAGAACTTCGACTATGTTTACGCATATCCAGACAATTAAATCATTTTGGGGTGGGTTGGGACTCTTGGCAGGAAGAATTCAATGTTGAGTTAGAGTTATAGTTGGCTCTTTTGAGGCCCTTTTGTATGAACTTTGTGTTGGCTCTTATGAGGCCCTTTTGTCTAGGCCCTTTTGTGTATGAACTTTGTGGTGGCCAGTATGTGGGCCTTTTTTAAGTATGTGTAAGCCCAGTATGTGTAGGCCCTTTTGTGTATGCGAATTAGTATGGATCAGGCCCAGTAGTATGGAATCAGGGCCAGTAGTATGGATAAGGCACTTTAGTATGGATCAGGCCAAGTAGTATTATTTATCAAGCCCAGTAGTAGTATAAATCAGACCCACTAGTAGTAGTTTCTCTAGTAGTGAACTTAGTTATATGTATTATGATATGTATTCCAGCTCTTTTAAATGACAAGTACATTGTTACTTTAAGATGCATGTTATTTAAGTGATTTTCATATTTAACACACTGTTACTGTTTTCATATGGATGTTACACTAAAGTGACTTTATTGATTAACACTTTCCCAAGTAAATCCTAAGTACAAAACACTGTCAAAATAAGTCCAAGTCCTAAATAAGTCCATGATGAATAATGAATAGCCAAATCAATAAAACACTGTCAAACAAAGTCCATAATGAACATGGGCTTACTAAATAAGTCTAAGTCCAAGTACAAATAAGTCCATTGAAAACATGGAATAAAACACTATCAAACAAAGTCCATAATGAACATGTGCCTACTAAATAAGTCCAAGTCCAAGTACAAATAAGTCCATTGAAAACATGGAATAAAGGCAAAATTGGTTTAGATGGAATTGCTAAATAATATAGTTAGATAGATCATTCCTACAGTAATTCAGGTAACACATTCAAACTAAGTAGATAGATCAAAACACAGTCCATAATATCATGACACTGATTAATTCATAACACATAATTTTCACATTCAAATTCATGACATAAAATAATACACAAGGCATATTATGACATTCAAATACATGGCATAGAATAATTTTCACATTCAAATGCAGGCTTGTATATATTATTCAAATGGAGTTATGAGCAACATTCCATACAAATTATCGCCTAAATCATACACCTGATGTTTCAATTGACTGAGGAAAATTTATATAACTACTTAGAAATTGCGACAACGTTGCGGGTTACACAGTTGTAAGGTAGGTGTTTGAAACAACCCTCATGTAATGTGGCATATATACAACTACTTCAAATAACCACCGCCCTGAAAAGACACAAAAAAAATATTAACTACATACCTTCCATTCTTTCTTTCTAGCAACACACATTGTAGGTTGTAGATTGATTTAACTCACAACTCTTTTTATTATTCAAATGGAGGGTGAGTGATAGCCGACACGCAACAAACACAACTGTGTTGGCTCTCCACATTTTGCTACAAGCCAAGTACAATTTCT